CCTAAGGAGTCCGAAGGCTCAAGGTGAAGGACATCTGGCAAAATGGCAGTTCGGCCCTCCAGGATGAACGACAATCTCGTTTCTGTTGGTGCAATCCTTGTTTTTGTTGGTGCAACACTTCAACCCTTGTGTCTGTGAAGGTAAAACTCCCAACATTTGACTGCTCCCATTTTTAATGCAACATTCTACGCCCGCCGAACAGCGCCAAGTCGCGTCCTCTGTGTCAAGACCAGCAAGTTCCTTCCACCGGGGTCATCATGAACGTCACAATGTAAGGATGATTATAGATCTTGGAGAGTCACCAAAAAAAAACAACACGACACCATGCATTATGCCTGATGCCTGATTTGTATGTATATTGATTTTTGACAACTTCCAAGCCTGATGTGATGCAATTTTCAGGGTTTCCCATGTTTCTTTCTCATCATTTCCAGTATTGTCGCTATGAATTATCGAGCTATTTTGGGGGATTCAAAGGTGGAATTCAAAACTTGTAGCAACTATAACTGGACTCGACATTCGGAGCCCAGAACGAGGACTGAAACTAGGACCCACTAGGACCCACTAATTAGGATCCACTAGGACCTCCAAAAAAAGTGTGAAAAAACGGCCCTCTTGGGCTTCCTGTTTGATCCGTCCTCCACAATACGCTGTTCGACGTCTGGGTGACCAGAGATGCAAAACACCTGGGACGCCAAGAGGCTGACGAACCAACCACTACCTTCACGGATGGTTTTCTGGTTCCCAGGGGTCATCACTCCTGCACAGGTCAATATTTGTCAATATATGTCAATGAATATACCATAAATTAAGGATTTCTATTAGATGGATGACAATAACCCATATATATATATATACATATATACACCATATTTTTGACCCACGTATCCCCAAAGATAATGAAGGATACAAAACTTCGTGGGATCCAGGCAACGTTGTCAGGGACTTGGGGCTGTGGGGTACCGTAGATTTTCAGTCACAACGACGGGATCCTCTCGTGTTGAGAGTGATGTTTAGGGATTACAACAAACATCATACCCTCTGGTAATTTAACATAGCTATGGAAAGATCCACCATTTTTAATGGGAAAATCCACTATTTCTATGGTCATTTTCCATAGTTATGTTAGTTTACCAGAGGGTAATGCATGTGATCTGTAGCTCATGACATCACACAGGTGACTCCTTACCCAGAAGTCAACCAAGATGAGGCAAAACATGGTATAGATCACCACACGCCCCCGGGTTTAATCTGCCCATCCCCAGATCAAAAAAAAATACCACCCTCTGCATGAACAATATTCAATTAATATACGTAATTAGCGAACTCGGGGGATTCAATTAATATATATATATATATAGATATGTCATATTTGATAGGACAGCCCGCAGCCCGGGGTGTTTTCCATTGCAACGGTACGAGGGGGTACTCTGATTGGGGGATGGACACCCAAGTGTTTTCCCTGGGACCATTCGAGGATTGGGATCGCAAATGAATGGAATCCCCAGTGATATCATTTGAGCCATGAAAAATACTCCTATCCCATCTCATTATGACCGTTGATTTTTTTGTATATATATATATTATATAGACTATAATACTGGTTATCCCTGTATGGAGAAATCAAAAATCTCCCCAATAAACCAGGTAGTTTAACAATATGGGCCGGGTATTGTCAATGGCTTATTTGCACTTACTACTGAGCTTCCCAGCCGTCCAGGATAAAGCCTGGCCGCTGATCCATTGGGCCGGGGATGGAAGATGTTAGTTTTTTTGTTTAAACTATTTGACCAATATTTCCAGATTTTTTGTGGATGGTCTAATATTGTCGTATGTCTACAATCCTACACAAAATGATTGTCTGAGGTTTTCAAGTACGAGGAAATGAATGATTTGGGTAATTTGGGTTGGGGAACACATATTATCACAAAGCGCCAATATTCATAAATAAATACCCAATAGTCTTTAAAATTTTTATTACCCAATACATTAATAAAACAACATTCTATGCTCCCGATCATCCGAGATTCGGACGATTCGGCACTGGGAGCGCCATCTGAGCACAGTATTCATCCATTACCCCTATTACTAAACGTACCCCAAATACTAAACAATAGGGTCCATTCAAAATTTGGAAATTTGAAGTTGGCAATTTGAGTTTAATTGATACCCTTTAGAGAACAATCTAAACATAAAGGTCCCATCTGAGGGTTTCACCCCCTAATCATAAAAACTAGCCAACACCGGGCTGTTTTTTGTTAGGGTCCGTCCTTTAAAATCAACAAAAACAAAAAAAAACTTAATGGTAGGGGAAGCATCGAAATCCAGTTTTTGGCAATATTATATAATTAGATGTCAAAAAGTAATTTAATCGATTTTGAAATAACAAAACATAGTTGGGGTTTAGTATTAGGGGGAATGGATTATATAGGGCCACTGATATGTGTGTGTATATATACATATCAAAATACATATATGATATAGTATAAACGTGAATGAATAATATATAACATTATATAATATATGATACATCGGACATAGGCATGTATTTATCACGACCGAGAAAAGATGCTCAATCTTCATCCCGTCGTCCTCGCTGTTTCGAAAAAGATCGCCTTTTGGTGCCACGGGTGCGTAACCCCAGCAGCTCATTGGGCTACTCTGGCCCAAAAACAACAAATGATGCGCCGATTTCGCCAGGCTGCCAGCTACTGGCCGGGCCTGGAAGGGACATGGCTTTGTGGTCATCCCATAAAATAGAAATCCAAACATACTGGGAATGCAGTAAAAATCCTATGAACATGGAATGACAACCTTATCCCACAAAGTATGCAATTTACCCGAGTTTTGACCATACCACATATGATCATTACATATCATGACACCTATTAACCAACGGATGTCCATTGGCACCGGTAACAAGCCATGTCACATGAGCCGTTCCAAGTTCTTGGAATCGTCTGCCTGGTCGCTTCTATCTCTATCAGTTGGATTTGTCCAAAAATAAATAGGATACCATCTGGTAGATTCTATGGAAAATTGCCCATAAAAATTGCAATTTCCGTGTTGTCTTTACCAGGTACCCGCAAATCGCATGGTTTCTCACTAATTTTGAGGTATCCATTTGGACAAACGGCCGTTGTTCAAACGGCAGCACGTGTCAACGGCACCACGTGTCATCGGCAGCACAGCGACAGAATCTTTACCCGTAACATTGTCAACAATGGATGGGCACAAGAAAAAATAGTCGTCGCCATTGATGAGATTTCAGTGGATTTCATATGGGGTTCTTATTGGATTGTGTGGTGATGTGAAATTTGAGAAAAACATGGGAGCTGGGATATATTATGGGATAGTGACCAACTAAATATTGATAATTACAATATTTGTGAAACGGGGATATGGCACCATTGTTCATGGATGGGGAATATGATGATTAACCAGCGGATGGGGTACCCATTTTCAGACAAACCCAAGTGAACTACTAGCAACATTGACCAATCCGTTCCCCATACTACCGTAAACTGTATGAAAGACTACCCCTTAAATACTCTGAGCATTGGATCTATTCATGTAAGGGTCCAATCTTGGGGGTATTCAATATGGGGGAATCTGAAGTATACATTTGAATTATTGGTACTGCTTGTCAGATGACTGTTATTGGACGTCGGGTCCCAACTGACTGTGGATCAAGATCAAAACCACCATAATATTCTCGTGAACATCAAAAATTGCCGGGATTTGTGGGTAAATCCTCAATTGATAGGGGATTTCCCAGCTAGCCATGTTTGATTACCGCAGGGTAACCCCGGGCATCATGGGTTTTGTGTTGTGGCTTTGACCGATGACTTTATTAAATTTTGGCACGTGCATCTTCTGGAAGCGGGCGATGACGGGCCATCAGGAAAAACCAGGAAGAACAGCACAATTGTGCCGTGCATGGATACTCGACGCCAACCATATGGATATAGTCTAGTCATCTAGACACAACTTGAATGGAACTGCTTAAAATGGCTTCAATTTTCTCTCAACTTGGATATGTGAGGTACCTAAATTGGCCGCATCTATGCAAGGCTGTCGGGTTGTTGTAAGGACTATATGACGAATTTCAGGATATTTCAGGAAGTATTCACCAGAATATGAGCTTGTTTCTCGTACCATCCCTGCATGGTGTATTTTTGTGTATTTCTTGGTTCTACCTTCGGAAAACGCGCTACTCAGCGGTGGTAGAAATGGGGCTACCCCGCTATCATTGCTATTGATCCCCAGTGGGCACAGCCTGGTACAGTACCATACCCCGGGGTGTCAAAACCCATGGAATCCCTTTCCGTTCAACCTCAAATAGCTGGGATTTATGGATGTCCTTTGAGGTGATCCATAGCCCTGGAGAAATATGGAGAAACCAGCCATCAGAAAAAGCTGTAAAAACCTCTGATCATGGCTGGTTAATTAAGCATTCATGATCCAAATATATCCAAATCATTTAGGGGGTCATGAACCGCTTTCTAACCCGGGGATATCTGCACCAAACGGCTCTTGCTCCATGTGACAAACCCAAAACCCGGGATTCAAAACAGCGTTTAATGATTAACGTAAGCTATTTACCAAATATATGTATATATATATGTATGTATAATTCTGGATAGCATATATATATATATATATGTATATATATAAGGCATTCCCAATTATGGATCAAGGGTTGATATTCATGTATATATATATATAAAATACTATGACCCGTAAAATGACCCGTGGTGTAAGACAGAGCACGAGACTAGCCCATCTAAACTTGGATTTGCTTAAGGACCCCCAGAAAATAGATCTTTGAGAACAACATTCCCTATAGATTCCCCAAGTAGTGGATATTCCATTGGGAAAATCGGAAAATCATCGACAAAGCGCAAGTCCAAGATAGATCAGATCTTCCCATTCCTCCATTTTATTATATCATTGATATCTATAGTGGATTTTCCGACAGTTTCTGATTGCCATCATATCCATCATCATTTTTCTTCAGCAAATCCAAGTAAAGTCTATCTCAAAATGGTCTCACTTCACTGTGTCTTCTCGTCTTGCGAGTCCGCCTCGACAGGGAGCTTTTGGACAGGGACGGACGTTGGGACAGCACAAGGTGCTGCTCCGGGTCGTTCAACAAGTTGCTTATACAACTTCATATAACTAGGGTTAATGGTGACTACATTACATTATAATTAAGGCTAGATGGGCCTTAGATGGGGTTTATTTCATCAACTTATAACCGGCAGCACCTTGAACGATCAACCCATGGCAGTTCTAAACATTGAAACTCAGGTCAGCAGTGCGGCGAAATATTCATCCATGAACCACCCAAACACCACTCCGTTGAGTGAAATCCCATGCTTGAGATCTACATTGCCATATTTCCCCATGACATAGTCACTTCCGCCGTTTCGATAGTTGCCCTAGTGCTCCAAATTCCCCCCTCGAGAGTCCAAAAAACAACTTCAAAACACAGCCTCACAAGGTGTCTGGAGCTGTAGGGCTTGGCTGTTTCGCCGTTTCTGGTGCCATGGTGGGCCCCTGTCCCATATTGTGAATCCAAAATAATCCAAACACCATGCGTCGCACATCAATTCCTATGACAAATGGATTGATGACCATCCCCAGATGGGGAAATCAGGCGAAAAATAAACCATGGCACATGAGCAGTGTTCAAAGGCCCGCAATGTCATTCTATTGTACTGTTTGGTTAATAGGGATTCTGATATCGGATTAAATCATAATCCCCAATTGCATATATATATATATACGTATAATGTATATGTATATATATATATGTATGTATGTGAATATATATATATATATATAATATCTATAACATATATATATGTATAATGTATATATATATATATATGTTATATCAATATATGATTGTATTGGGTACAGTAGTATAATCCCCGAGCAAATCAACCGATGCCTCCCAGTATCTTTCGGCGAACTGTCTCCGGTGCGGCTGGTTCTGGGGTCCTGGAGATGTTGCGGAAGACAACCTGGTGGGATGTTTTAAAAACACACACACACACCTATAGAAATCCCATAGAAATCCTATAGAAGTGATATCTAGATGATCTAGATATAGAACAAATTCTTACATACTAATTCCCGATGGAGAACATGTTTATTATATATGAGAGTATGAGTATCTGATGAAATTATAGAGGTACTCACAAAGTCTTATCCTTACAGTAAATCGGATTTTCTGACTTCCATGGATCCGGTAGTTCATCAGGTGCCTTCCGGAGGCTTCCGATCACAGCATGGTCAAATTTAGTGGAACAGGCTGGTCAAATTCAATCATCCACAATTCGTATTCACAATCACCAATTCATACCAATTCTATGTTTGCGTTCTCATTATTTCCTAGGTACCAGCACTGATGTCCATGTTTTGTTGGCATGGCAATCACCATTTCTGTGTTTGGGGGAGGTCTCCGAAGCCCGTCCTCGCTGTCCATACCTTGGAGAAACAGAAGCAGATTCTGCTCTTCCCCCAGTTATGATTGTTAATTTACATCCCTATCATTCAATATATCATTTGTCCGCCACAAAACAAGATAATTACATATAATATCATATAATTACAAGCTATAAACCAACTTGGTCAACTACATTCATCAGAACTGTAAGAACAAGTGTCCATAAAAGGGGATGGCCCCCCTACATGCACCATCATTTCAGTGACGTCGTATGTGCATCTGCTTCCTTGAAGCAGGAAACTCAATCTCAAGGCAAAGCCCCACACGCGGGAAAGTTGGCTTATAAACCGGTAGATAAACCCAGGTCACAGACTATAGATAAACTGGGGGTTAACTATAAAGTTGATTTAGAATTAGCCTCTGGTAAACTAACATAACTATGGAAAATCACCATGTTCAATGGGTAAATCCACTATAAATGGCCATGTTCAATAGCTATGTTAGTTTACCAGAGGGTAGCCTGTAAAAGGGTTTTGATCTACCATGACCCCCAGTAAAAACACCTGATCCAGGTGCAGCTTCTCAAGGCGAGAAACTATTCTGCACACGGGCCATGTGAGCCATGTGAGCTGGAACTGAAGAATTGCGCCTTCTTTCCTGGCGACGAACTCCAGGTTTTTGGAATAGAAAATGGGTGCTGGACATACCCAATTGGTCACTTTTCTGGACATACCCAATTGGTCACTTTTTGTTTTTTTTTTAGCAGCCCAAAATGGGCTCAGTTTGAGCCATATCACCCACTGTTCCCATATCTCAAGTGGTCTACTGTGAACTAGCTTTTCGTTATATAAATCTATTTTAGTTTCCTGAAGGTGTGCATCATGATCATGAATCATTCCTGGATCCACTATGCTCAACAAAAATATTGCGAATTATTCCTGAAACGGTTCCGCGAGGTCCTAAAATCACGTCCCTTTTAAAGAACCACAACACTAGCGTGTATATATATATACATATAAATAAATACATATCTATATATATACATACATACATATATGTACATACTTTCAAACTCCTAACCCCATATGCATTTTGCATCATGTTGATTGATATACATTCAGATCCACCAATGATTTCCCCAATCAACCCGTTATTCTTGGTCTATATCACCAACAGGATATTCTCAAGTCCTCAACCGTTTGGTTTGACACCTCCAACTGAGTCATGAAGAATATCTCTATGCTATCCCGGCAGGATGGGGGCCGGTATCACATGGTATCCCTGCTATGGATTACCCTTACAATCATTCCAACAAACAACGTGGTATCACCCATAGCAAGAACCAATGACCCCACTGTCCACCTGAGCATCAAGGGATCATACTCTTGTTGGGTTTTATCACCCGTGGATCATCCCAAAAACTGGGCTGATGCTTGTCCCATTGATGCATGACATGGGACCCATGTTCAAAAATATTCAAAAATAGTATGGACTGTATGGATGATGCATTCCATTTACAGATGACACTTGCACTTCCCATTTCTTATACTCAAAAATCCTATCAATAGATGATGTTTCCAATTTATAGATGACACTGCCACTTCCTATGTCCTTATACTCAAAATTCCTATTTAATTATAGATGATATGTCCCATTTATAGATCGCACTTGCCATGTTCTTATACTAAAAAAACATAAAAAAAAACTATTTATGGATCATATTTCCCCATGCTTCTTACAGTCAAAATCAGCCCATTATAGATGATATGAAGCCATGAATTCGGGGATAGCCCGGCACGCAGCACCTTGGCGTCACTCAACAGGCTTGCCTGTGAGACCTGGAGAATTGGAGGAGATTGGATTTAGAATAGATAGCCGGAGATGATTAGAATTAGATTAGTGATGGCAATTCACCTAGAATGAGATTGAACACCTATTTTCAAGGTATTTAAAAAGGTACTTTTTTTTAATGGAAATACCTGGACACAATCAGAATTCAGAATTAGATTAGTGATAGACAAAATCATAGCTAGCTGGATATATATATATATAGTGTACATGTGTAATTTATACATATATATATGGGATCATGTATGCACATTTCCTACATTCTGATACTTCAAGAGACCCCTAATGAATAAAACTCTTTGCCTAAGAGCCCAGTGTCATCCACAATCAGATTCAATCACGTCATCTTACCTGGGTTCATATGTAATTTTGTATGTACAATCTATGTACATATATCATCATCTATCTACCTCCACCAGCAAATTTACTTACCTTAAAACATCTGCCATAATATAATATATATATATATGGGCTTTTTTCATGGTGCATGACGTTTATTTCACCTAGAAATTTACGGTAGGTTCAACATCCGCAGCTTCTCATCTCCATCGACATCTCCTGGGAGCCGACGGAATGGTCCAGAGACTCCAGATTCCCAATCGTACCTCAGCTGACAGTTCCAGTCTGCAGAGAATTTCAAGTTGCCCACGGTGCCAGTGGAATGGTGGATCACTTGATGTTCCCCATTATTACAGTATATTACAATATATTATGAGTATGTTATAGTATATTACAGTATGTTATAGTATATTATAAAATGGCCCTTGGGGGGCATCAAATGGCAATGCTTGGGGGATACCGCATGGTCAGACAGACCGGAAAAATGAAGAAGGCATAAAACGACTGAGGCCACAGAAGAGGATGTTTGCCAATCCAGCAAGGAAAGACCTAAGCATATAACATTCAGGGACCTACCCTCTGGTAAACTAACATAACTATTGAAAATGGCCATTTATAGTGGATTTTCCCATGAAAAATGGTGGATCTTTCCATAGCTATGTTAGTTTACCAGAGGGTACCTCAATTGTTGTGTTGCCCCGCATTTCTCCGCATTGCCCTTGTAGATCGATAACCCCACAACGTCAGGAGGGTTTCTCTCACTGTCCTCGACCTCGTGACGGCCTCGTGGTCTGGAAAGTAAGGTCATAACAGAATTTGGTCAGGTCTTGAACCTGGGGGTTAGATTAAACCATAGCCTCAGCCTGGTAATTCTAGGGGATCAGCTTACGGATCCTCCAGGTACATGTCAAGGTGTTACCGCCGCAGTTATAAGTTGCTATAAGTTGACCTAAAATTCCCATGAACTATAAATATATCATATATCATCATATATCTATAGTTAAAAAACATGCTATAACTATTGGAGTGATAAATCAATTCGGCCAACATGAAATAAGAGGGATACATCCCCATGTATTTAAATGGTAAACCAACACTTCACATATCAAAACCATGAAACACATGTATCCTCATATGTTAGTTAACTTAGCACTAGCCATAACTTGGCCAATGGTAAAGTATATGTACCCTTTTATTGACATAATTATTGTATATTCTCAATCAAATATGCCCAAGTTGGTGATACAAGTATATAAATAGTGTATATATATATATAAGTTGTATAGTAATAATATATATATATATATATATTATATATAAGTTGTAAAACAAATATATACTATATACATTATGTATGTTATATACATATATATATATATAAAAGTTGTGTAATAATACACATATATATATATATTTATATTATGCACATAATAAACATATATATACATACAAGTCGAATAATAATAATAATAACATATATATATACACTATATATATATTATGTATATTATATACATACATATATATATAAGTTGTATAATAATAATAAAAATAATAATAATAATATATATATATATACATACTGTATCAGTTGTATAATAATATGTATATATACCATATATATATATATACCATACATATATATTATATTATATATAAGTTGTATAATAATATGTATATATATAAAAAAACTATATAAGTTGTATAATAATATGTATATATATGTATACACTATATATATATATACTGTATATATATATACTGTATATATATATACTATATTATATATACATATATATATATATAAGTTGTATAAACATATATATATATATAAGTTGTATAAACATATATATATATATAAGTTGTATAAACATATATATATATATATGTTATCTCTATGTATATATTATACATAAGTAATATATCCCCATGACATCATGATATGATCATCTCCTGTTGGTTCACCAGACTTGGTCCCAGGGGCGGCTCTTGGTGAGTCTCCCGGAGGAGCTGGCCCGGAAGGAGTTGCGGCGAACGAAGGAGGTCCGACGAATCTGCGCGTTGCATGGTGCTTCATGGATTTTCATGGTGATTTCATAGGGATTTGATAGGAAATTCATGGGATCTAATTTTTTTTTGATTGCATATAGAATCTAATGGGATTTCTGTGGAATTTCATGATTTTATGTGGATTGAAAATGGATTTCATGGTGATTATAGGGATTCTACAGTTATCTTTTTGGGATTTAACTTGACATAACACTCGATTGCAAGAGGGAAACCAGCAATCCACTAGGGGGGTTACTCGGCGAAATTCGAAGGTTTGACCGGCGCAAACTGGGAGTTTAAGCAACTCTGCGAGGCATTTGAGGCGTAGCAAGTGTGGATCATCATTGCATTCTCAAGGGTATAAACATGTTTGAAACCACCAATCAAATGAGATTAATTACAAGTTAATTACAAGTCGTGACAGAATGAATCGACATAGGTCTACGACTATCGCTATGGTGCATTTTGCTGTTGAATCTCAAAGGAACCTTATTCCTCAACGAGGCTGGTATGTCAGAGCAGGTATGGTTGTAGAGGAACCCCAAACAAATAGAACGTTCTTTCGCGGAGGAAATAGACACAAACAAGGATGAATAGTTAGGGACCCCCGAGGAATCCACATTTGATGATCTATGTCACTGGCAGGTTGAAGCCTGCAGGAACAGGTTTTTACAGTTTACATCTGACAGATTCTGACTGATTTCCAAGCTGATCAACGTTTGAGGAGACATGCTTCACTTCCTGACCACATGTGCGCACCTGACCACCTGCGCCACCAGCACCTGTTCCAGGACTCTCCACAGTTTCCTCAACGCAGAGCCGGATGCTGAGACTTTGGGAGTGGTGAAAACCGGGTTTTCAATTGGACTCAGATATGCGGCTGGGATGAGAGAAATGATTAGGGTGTGGTTGGTCTTTATTACTAAATTATATTTAGTATGATATGGCGCATGGGATTATAAAAAGAATTGCTGAGCATATCTGAAAACTCATAGGATTGAATTGTTGCTTAACTGCGTTGTAAGCGACAATTTACATCATTTATGAAGGGATACACTGAGCATAGTCCAGTATAGAACCATTTTGGGTATGGGCCCAAGAACGCCCTCGTGGAACATGATGATCATGATGGGATGGCAACTTACCCAATTGATTCTTTTAGTCCGAAATCCCATAACTAAGCCACAACTTGCTGGAATTTGGGGTGTCCAACCAAGCTGCGTTGTTCGTTCGATAGTTTCTTGAATCACCTGAATTTCGAAGTTTCAATCCAACCCCCAAACGGATCTGAAATTAATGTATATACATGCAAAACCACCCTAAAACCACTGACTTTCTTCATTGTTAGGTACAGTATTACCGAACCGATTTTAGGATGGAAATAGTTTGATATAATGACCGGATGATCTTTTTGGTATTACATGTTTGGAAAAACCTTTTCACCATTAACCCAGCTCCACCTTCACTTTGGAACATGACGGAACTATCGTTCTACCAGAAAACGACATTTGGAGGTATCTTCACCATAGCTAAATCTCAATTTATATAGTTGGTTACCCCTTTGGAACCATATAGAGGTTTCCTAAAATGAGGGTACCCCCAAATCATCAATTTTAATAAGATTTTCCATGAAATAAACCATTCATCGGGTACCCCTATTTCAGGAAACCTTGGATCCATATGGTTCATCACTCTCAACTCACCAAAAACCCTAGGCCCCCCCTCTTGTTGGCCCCGCTTTGTTGGCGCAGCTTTACCGCTGCAACCAGGCAACGACCACGAAGCGTTGCTGCGAGTATGGCTTGTCAGGGAAGAACTCCGTTGCCGCAGGCTTCATCAACTGATTCGCCTGGAGAATCCAGCAGAATTCCATGGGATTTCGTGAGATTTACCCTCTGGTTATGACTAACATAGCTATTGAAAATGGCCCATTTATAGTTGATTTACCTATTAAAAATGGTGATTTTCCATAGCTATGTTAGTTTACCAGAGAGTAATGACATCTAATGGTATTTCATGGGATTTAGAGATCTAGTCGGGATTGAAAGGTTGAACTGTTGAACTACGATAAAACGTGTTGATTTAAACAGGACTAGTTTAACCAACAATAAATATACCCTCTGGTAATTTAACGTAGCTATGGAAAATCACCATTTTTAATGGGAAAATCTACTATAAATGGCCATTTTCAATAGCTACGTTAAATTACCAGAGGTTAAAACATGGAGAAATAGACTAAAAAGTAATTAATGTTTGCACCTGATTAAAGAGATGGTACCCTATTGTGAGAAATTTCTTGCTCCTAATTCAGTCACATGCCAATTGTTGGGGGGGGGCCTCTATTGTGAGAATTTTTTTCCAGATTTTTTTTTTTTTTTAAATATTTTTCCAAATGCTTTAATTAACTTTACTTTTCTTTTTAATTATGTTTCTATTTATGATTATTTTTAATTAATTTTATTTTAGATGCCTTATCAAACCCTTATTAAAAAAACAGCATCCAGACAATTTTTCAAAGGGGTACCTCATGAGTGGCTCAGTTACTCAATAATATAATTGTTTGGATGGTACTCTATTGTGAGCACCAACTTTTGGGATTGAAAAAAAAACAAAACCCTTTCTCCACCTTTCTTTGGGTAAAGCTGGTGCCTTTACTTTAGAAAGCCATATTTGTGTTAAAGCTTTAAAATGCAAGGTTTTCCAAATAATTAGATGCCTTATTAAACCCTTATTAAAAAACAGCACCCAGACAATTTTTCAAGGGGATACCTCATGATTGGCTCAGTTACTCAATAATATAATTGTTTGGATGGTACTCTATTGTGAGCACCAACTTTTGGGAGTGAAAAAAAAACCTTTCTCCACCTTTCTTTGGGTAAAGCTGGTGCCTTTACTTTAGAAAACCATATATATGCTAAAGCTTTAAAATGCAAGGTTTTCCAAATAATTAGATGCCTTATTAAACCCTTATTAAAAAACAGCACTCAGACAATTTTTCAAGGGGGTACCTCATGATTGGCTCAGTTACTCAATAATATAATTGTTTGGATGGTACTCTATTGTGAGCACCAACTTTTGGGAGTGAAAAAAAAATAAAAATAAATTAAAAGTAAAGTAAATTGAAAATTAAATTGAAATCAATTGAAAGTAAATTGAAATCAATTGAAAGTAAATTGAAAAGTAAATTAAAAGTAAATTGAAATCAATTGAAAGTAAATTGAAATCAATTGAAAGTAAATTAAAAGTAAATTGAAATCAATTGAAAGTAAATTGAAATCAATTGAAAGTAAATTAAAAGTAAATTGAAATCAATTGAAAGTAAATTGAAATCAATTGAAAGTAAATTAAAAGTAAATTGAAATCAATTGAAAGTAAATTGAAAGTAAATTAAAAGTAAATTAAAAGTAAATTGAAATCAATTGAAAGTAAATTGAAATCAATTGAAAGTAAATTAAAAGTAACTTGAAAGTAAATTAAATTGAAATCAATTGAAAGTAAATTAAAAGTAAATTGAAATCAATTGAAAGTAAATTAATTAATTAAAAGTAAATTGAAATCAATTGAAAGTAAATTGAAATCCTTTCTTAAGTTGATTGACCAAAAAAATGTTGAGGGGGGGGCAAAAAAAAGTGCGAGTTATAGAGTATCCTCAAATTGTTTAGGGGGGGGGGGGCCCTCACACTAATCAGATGCAAACATTACTGGGATATAATGGGAGGGTTTCAATGAGACTGCAATTGGGATTTGGATGCTGAAGCAAGCTGGGAAATTCCCCCTTGAATCAAATGGAGGTGTTTGCTAGGAACATCAGCGAACAAAATTTGGGGGTTTTCCATTGCGATGTTTGATTCGCAGAGGCTACTGGGAATCTCATGGAAAGGCCCCTGTGAAACATGTCATTCAATGTGTTGGGGATTTTTGCCAGCAAACATGGGGATTGAATGGGATATAATGGGATATATGAGATATTATATATATATATATATATTTATGTACATATAACATCATATAACCAGCAAGGCATTTGGGGCTGTCTGAAAATGAAGGATGCGCTTAGTTTATGAAAAGATTCAAAGATCCCACCTCAAGCTTTTCTTTATATCCCGTAAACAGATACTGCAGCCATTGTGAGCTTGTCTAATAGATAACAATTCCCTAGCCTGAAAATAGCTGAAATAAGGCCACACCACTTCTCTTGCGGACCCCCAGCCATACCCCGGCAGCTGCTAAGGCACGACTGGGTCTGAAGCCTTGTTGGGGGTGCCAACAAGCTCAGTAGAAAGAAACAAACACAAGAACCACCTTAGTCAGTCAACAAAGTCAACAACCTCGACATATACGACCTGAAATCCCAGATGCCTCTTGAGACAGTGAATGCAAGACCCAATAAAATTATCTTAAAGCTACCGAGCTTGTCGGATTTCCCACCGGCGTTGCTTGGAACGCCTCAATTTATCTTGGCAGTTTCTCCTGGCAGTTCTTGAAACTTAGGATGGATGCATGCATCGAATTGATGAACCACCGGCGAACGTGAGAAGTCAGTTTTGGCAGCTCCATACTGATTGCAGTACTCTCGCAGCATTTGCATGGTCTCGATTTGTCTCATCATCTGTGGTCTCACTGGCGGTCCCTGTTTGGACTCTGTTGACCCAAGCACTCTCAATAATCTGATTTTGCGAGTGGAAATGGAGGGTCAAATTTCTTGTTGCAGGAGGGCTTGTAGATGGGCCAAGCAATCTCGAACGCTCGCGGTCGCTGCACCAAAACTGTCTGCCGTGTTATCAAATGCTGGGTTTTCTTCAACACGCTGAAAATTCGGCAACTGGGCATGATTTCGCTTTGCTAACCATCATTCTAATGACGTTACATCGAGGTCAATATAATAATTCAATCCATATGTATGTATGATTATGCCTGATTATGCATCATTATGCCTGCGGGCCGAAAAGCTTGCTCGTAAAACTGATGTTTTTGGGGTGGGGTGGGCTGGGGTGTGGTGGGCTATTCACGTCCTTGGTCCTAACAATTTGCAACTAAGTTAGTAACTTTTCAAACAACTTCCAACTACGTTAGTCACTTTTGTTACATCTTCTCAGTGCGTTTGTATTTTTCTAACAACTTCCACTGGGTTTCTTGATGTTACATTAGTTTTTTTGTACAACAACTACCAACTACAAGAGTAGTATAAAACTTGCAGCTACGTTCTTGATGATGGGGTGGGGTAGGGTGGGGTAGGGTGGCAACGTTTTCTCACATTTGTACACTTCACACTTGCACACGCACTTGATGCTGAAGGGACGGGGCGGGCGGGGTAGTAACCTTCACCCACACTCGCACACTTCAAACTTGCACACGCACGGGAATGGAGGGGGAACCCGGTTTTTTTTTGTCACACTTGGACATGATTGTGCAATATTATCAGCTGCACAAAGCATAAGAAGTGTCAGCAGCTGGGCATGCAGCTCATATTCTCATTCCTTACTCTGCCGGAAATGGTGAGAGCATTGGGATTCCTCAAAATGATCATCAGGATCTAGAATGGTCAACAATACAAGACTGGTTGGTGCCCTTCTGAAGAATATGCTCGTCAATTGCGATGATTGTCCTAGGTACAGTTGAACATTAAATACTTGAATCATCTTGAATCCACCAATCAAAAGAACATGATCAGTTCCCCTAAGATGTTAGTATGCTGTGGGAACCTCGATGAACCCCATGAAAATGAACTGACCATGACATGGAATGCGAGAGACGGTGCCTTAAAGGGAAAACGGTTGAGACGGTAAGCCCAATAATTCTTCTAGAAATGGGTGAGGTTTCAACCAATCCACATGGCTGGTTTATGAATGTTTATGACATTGCTTTGCAAACAGTATACAAACAGTAAACATATTAGAAACATATTAGATTCTCCGAATGGATCCATTTATCAGGCCTTGTTAATTATTTATCCCATAGGATGAACACGAAACCCGATAAAGGACACGGGATCGCCACGGTGCCTTGTCAATGATATTCCGCATCCAGGATGGAAGGATGCCGCCTTTCTTCTTTGCCTACACAGCAAGGCCGAATGCCCCTGAAGTTGTCATACAAATTGGTCAACATCCCAATATGTTGGGACTTCATTTTGGTGATGTGCATAGAAGATATAGAAGGGTTGGTTGATGTTGGATATTGTTCTTTGTTCTTCCAACACATGTTTCAATATGTTGTTTGTAGCTGCTTATGTCCTCTCTGTCGCTGATTTGCGTGTTCTTTCGGGTTTTATCTGTGAGATCCTCTATCCGATTCCATGTTGGGTTGCTCGGGATATAATATCTTCCCCCTACTTAATATTAACCACCCCCCAGTAGTAGGGGTTTTAACACATGTTTGTGACCATTCAGGGTTGTTTAATATCAGGGGGGTGGGATTACCATCTTCATCATTTTGCTGTTTGAACATGTGTGAACACTGTGTCCCATCTTGCCAATACCTCACCAATGCCAATACCTCACCATTTCTGTTGCTTCAATCACCCTGAAATACAACAGCCAGTAAATCAACATTAGATAAATCTGATTCAATCTGAAAAAAAATCCCATGAATATCCCATGATTCCATAAATCCATAACTACCATCTGGTTATTTAACATAGCCATGGAAAATCACCATGCTACTAATAGGTAAACCATCTATTTCTATGGGCCATCGAAAAACCATGGCTATGTTAGTCATAACCAGAGGGTAATACCCCATTATAACCACTAAATCACCATAAAGAAATCTGAAGTCACCACGGTCCCAACGTCCATCTGGTCCGTCCGAGCCTTGGGTGCCAGGGTCCCGGCTTCCTTGTTGTCCGAGCTGCTGGCGTTCGTATCCTGGCGTCCGAGTCGTTGATATCTTAAGTTACAAAATAAATCATTCCTGGGGTTATCCCAACAGTCTAAAACAAATAAATAAATGAATCAATGAATAAATCTATGTATAATCATGTATATATAATACAACATTATATGTATAATCATGTATATATAATATAACATTGTATATATACAATAACCGTGTTTTATGGATGAATGCTAGTAAAGCAATGTCATAAACCACCCAAACTGGATTGATGGTTGATGATATTTGATGATGCTTGAAAACACCCATTTATTGGTATAATTTCGGGATTGTTTACGATTGCTTTACTAACATTTTAAGATATGGTATTCTAGATAAACACATATATTATCAGTTAAGATTGATTCTACCGCTGAATTCAAGATCAGATTTTTTTGATTTGCGATAGGGCATGATTGGAAAGGGCATGTTTGGAAATCTCTGAAGATTTGACCTTGGATCAACGAACAAAACATGCGCGCCTCTTGAACTTGGGAACCTTGTGTACAAGAACATTGCTTGGATTTGCGGGGTTCAAACAAAAAAACATATTCCCTGAATCAAATGCCCAGTTCTGGTGGATTTCCCTTTGGGAACATCTCAAAATTCAGGGTAAACACATCAAAGATAGTTGATATTCCCATAAAACATCCATTTATGATGGACATGCTTATATTTTCCCAAGATGTTGTCATGTTAAGAAGTCGCCGGTCTCCCGGAAACCAACAAAGTCTTTGGGCCTCAAAACCTACGGTGGAGCCAGTAGTTGCTCCACACACACCCGGTACATTTGAGGGTAGCCAAAGGATAAATATAGAGGTAACAAAAATCCATTTACCCCCCTCAAACGTGGCTGTCATGTATATAATGACTCGGAACAACCCGGTCAAATTTGTTTTTTTCTACATTGGATTATGGTTTTCTTCCGACCTGCAAGCATAGATGGAACCAGGAAACCACTATGGTTCAAAAGTGAATCGATGAATACTCTCAGAAGGAATTCTGTTCATTTTTTGCTTTGATAGTTAAAAAAACATGCTAAACGCCCCGCCTCCTTTCTTTTCAAATGTGCCACTTAGTACGATGAGAGATCACATTGTCTGAGGTTTGAAATGTACGTATAGAAAATTGAAGACACACGGATCTCACAATTTATAAATCCACAGGGTAACTCCAGAAGGTGAATGCCAGCAATTTTCATGAATTTGCAATAACCAGCAGACCACCAGTGAGGTCCGGCTTCCCATGGTTAAACATGGTTGAACATCCGATTTGCTAGCAACAATCTCAATTTTGATTAATTGTGAGATGCCAGTGTTTTATGGAAAAATCCACTGTTTACTGGTAACAATCACTAAATACACTGTCAATGAATTTAATGTTTACATATATACATGTATTTACAATCATATGTATATGTATATGTATATGTATATGTATATGTATATGTATATGTATATGTATGTGTGTATGTATATGTATATTTATATTTAAATGTATATGTATATGTCTATGTATATGTATATGTATATGTACATGCAAATGCACATACATATGCAAACATATATGTATATGCAAATGTGTGTATATGTACAAATATACAATCATAAATAAATATATATATATAAATATTATGTATATGTATATGTATATGTATATGTAAATGTATATGTATACAATCATATGTATATATATAAATATATATATATATATTTAAATATGTGTGTATACATTGGTGTATATATATGTATGGATGGATAGATGGATGGATGGATGTATGGATGTATGGATGTATGGATGTATGGATATATGGATGTATGGATGTATGGATGGATAGATGGATGTATGGATGTATGGATGTATGGATGTATGGTTGTATGGATGTATGGATATATGGATGTATGGATGTATGGATGTATGTATGGATGTATGGATGTATGGATGTATGGATGTATGGATGTATGGATGTATGGATGGATGGATGTATGTATGTATGTATTTATGTATGTATTTATGTATGTATGTATGTATGTATGTGAAACATTTTTGACATATCATTAAAGTACAGCAATGCTGTTGGCTAATGACACCTAATGTCTAATGGTCAAATCCATATTTCAACATGACATGGTACGTAGCTGCTGGACTGAGCTATGCCCGTCGCCTTCTCAGACAAGGCTTCACGCAAGCGTGAGACCTGGTCCTGGTGAAGGGTGTGGCAGGGGTGCTGGTACACACACACACATATGATATATATATATATATATCCTTCTCTCTCTCTCTCTCGCTCTCTTATGTGTATGATATAGTGTGTGTATATACACATATATATATATATATAACAATAAACAATATATATAATTATATGGTTGTATATAAGGAACTTCCTGATGCAACTCGCCATTGAAATTCTGAAACTGGGTCTTGGGGTTGGTAAAGTGACTCTTTCCGGGGTTTTTTGTGCCCTTAAAACAGAAGGATCCGGAGGGTACTGGGTCACTACTTTGTACCGTCTGTGTTTTAAAAGCGTCTATCTGCGTGCATGTGTACAAACTTTACACACATTGTACAGGGCCCCCAATACAGGCTGGGAAGATGAACAGGCGCGGCCCTGCGCTCAACGGAGAATGTTGTTGCATATTGCTGGTGGCCGGGAATGTCCAATATACTATCGAAGGAAGTTTTGAGGTCAAATTTTCCGACCTATGGTTAAAGGCAGCAACAATGGGGAGAGCAATCTGAGAAGAGAAAGAGTCAGAAGAGAACGGGTCAGTAGAAAGAAGACCAAGATGTGCAAAAAAGAAGAAAAGTCGCGAAGCACATCGAAGCACTCTGATTTTCCAATGTGTTGTGGCTCGGAGGGTCGAAAAGTAAGCTTGCTAAAGCGGCGGGTGCGGAGCCGTCTGGGCGGATGAGAAATCAAAAATTGCACGCAACACGCAGTTGTGGCGCGAAGCACTTTGTAAAAACATCACATGTTCGGACCACTTTTGGACGTTGAACTGTCATTTTTCGTGGCAGTCGCAATGGATTCTGCACCTTGCCTAAAGTGAGCAAAAAGTCAGGGTTTTGTAGCAGTTTCAAAAACGCTGGCAAGGGTGGGACATTTGAAGAGGATCTGCAAAGATGCATGTCGCGTGGCAGGCGCAGTACAAGAGACATCTCCATTAGAGATGTTAGGAGGTCAGGGCGCTGATTTCCTGAGAAGGGTTGCATTTTGGAGCATCAGATCTTCAGGTCTGCTAAGATGATTTTGGGTGACAGGTGCAGCACTTCGTATGATCTGACCTCACTTTTGTGTGGCAGGCGCAGTACTTGAGGCAGATGGAGTAGAAAACACAAAACGCATTGGCACGAGGCCGTCAGCTTAGCACTGCACTTTCTAGTCGTGAAGGAAGTCTCGTAGAATTGCTTCGTTTTGATGTTGTCACCGCCAAATTTTGGAGGAAGACTCGCAGAATTACTTCGTTTTTGACGTTGTCAAGTCAAAAAAAGCGAGGAAGTCTCGCAGACTTGCTTCGTTTTTGATGTTGTCAAGTTACAAAATCGAGTGAGTAAGTCTAGCAGAATGGCTTTGTTTTTGATGTTAACAAGTTCAGAAATGGGGACGTGTCGCAGAATTCGTCTTTTCAAGCTAGATAAAGCAGTACATGGATAGATAAACGGATAGATAGAGAGGAAGAGACAGAGATAGAGATAGAGGTAGAGATGGACATGGAAATGGAGAGAGAGAGAGAGAGATAGCGAGATAGGCCGGTAGAGAGACAGGCAGACATTGACAGACAAATTGGCTGAGAGAGAGAGAGAGAGAGAGAGATAGAGAGAGATAGAGAGATAGAGAGAGATGGAAAGACAGAGAAAGAGAGAGAACCAGAGAATGGGAGGAAATAACAGAGAGACACATGCATGGATAGAGAAAGAGATAGATAGTCAGAGAGACAGATAGAGACAGATAGAGACATAGATAGACAGACAGACAGACAGACAGAAAGATGGGTAGATAGCTGGCTAGCAAGCGAGCTAGATAGATAGATAGATAGATAGATAGACAGACAAGCAGATAGGCAAATAGACAGACAGACAGACAGACAGACAGACAGACAGACACACAGACAGATAGATAGATCGAAAGATAGATAGATCGATAGATCGATAGATCAATAGATCAATAGATTGATAGACTAGACCTAGACTATATTAGATTAGATTAGATTAGAATAGACAGATAGATAGATATATAGATTATAGATAGATAGATAGATAGATCGATGGATAGATAGATAGATAGATAGAGAGATAGACAGATAAATAGATAGATCGAAAGATAGATAGATAGATAGATAGCTAGATAGATAGATAGAGAAATAGATAGAGATAGATAGATATATATAGATAGAGACAGATAGATAGATAGATAGATAGATAGCTAGCTAGATAGATAGACAGATAGATATATAGATAGATAGATAGATAGATAAATAGATAGATAGATAGATAGATGGATAGATAGATAGATAGATAGATATAGATAGAGACAGATAGATAGATAGATAGATAGATAGATAGATAGCTAGATAGATAGATAGAAAGATAGATAGATAGATAGGTAGGTGGTAGATAGATAGAGATATATATAGAGATAGATAGACATATAGATATATAGATAGAGACATATAGATACATAGATAGAGACATATAGATATATAGATAGAGATAGATAGAGATAGAGATACATATAGATAGAGATAGATATAGATAGATATCGATAGATATAGATAGATATAAACATATATAGTTAGATATACTAAGATTAATATATATATATATATGATATAGATAGATATAGATAGATATAGATAAAGATAGATAGATATAGATGTGTATATACATAGATAGATATAGATAGATATAGACGGATATAGATAGCTATAGATGGATATAGATAGATATATATCGATATTGATAGATCTAGATAGATATATATATAGATATAAATAGATATAGATAGATATTAGATATATATATATATAGAGAGATATAGATAAATAGATATATATATATATGTATATATAGATATATAAATAAATATAGATATAGACATGGATATAGATAGATATAGATAAATATAGCTAAATATAGATATATTTACAGATATAGATAGAGATATATGGTTGGATAGGTAGATAGATAGATGGATGGTTAGATAGTTAGAAAAATAGATAGGGAGAGGGAAATACACAGAGAAAAAAAAACAGAGAGAGAGAGAGAGAGAGATAGAGAGAGAGAGAGAGGGAGAGAGAGAGAGAGTGTGCGCGAGCCAGAGACTCAACCACCTTTCCGTCCATCAGTTGGTTTTGCCATCCATGCGTCACAACAACTCACCTCTCCTGTAGGTTTCCTATCTTTGTAACTTCCGCCACCGCCTTGTGCGGTATTACTTTTACAGTGTGTGTATATATATATGTACATACTTATAGACCAACCAACCATCAATGACCCCAGAGGAATCATGCAGCATGATGATAATTTGCAAAACTGTAGTAAACGTTTTTGCCCAGCTACTTTAAACAAATGCGGACACATGGGAGTGGTCAACATGGCATACCCGAGACTGTGACTGGGTGTGTGTGTATATATATATATTGCTACTGGAAATAAGCAACATCATGAGACAAAGAACAATAAACGTACAGCAACACCCATGTTGAAGTAAAACCACTTGGGGGCATTTCGACCTTGACATTCCCTGACCATAAGAAGACCCATCAAGATAAGTTCTTTACATCAGTCAGTCGGTAGCAGGTCCAGGACATTGGACAGTAAAACTACCATCAAAGCGTGCAGAAATCGAACAAACATGGCAACTCTTCAAGCAAAACAATTTGATCGACAACTTGCATTTGCTTAAGTACCCCCCAAGAAATAAACAACATATTCCCCAAAAAAAATCCCCAGTTCTGGTGGATTTCCCATTGGCAAAATGGTAAAAATTACCTCACACAAACCCAGGGCATTTGATTCTTGTTTCAGCTACCCAGGTGTGAGCGTGAACATGCGTCAACTGTCTCCTCTTCTTGTTTCAGCGCAGCCTTCCGCATGACATCCACATCTTTGTTTGGCAAAAAAAAAAGGCGAAATCCTTCATTTATCGTTGACTCCCATGAAATATCCCCATCATATCCCATGAAATCCAGAGTTTGATTGGTTATTCCCAGATCATGAACATCCCCCATCATTTCCCATTAAATATTCCCATCGAAATCCCCATGTTCCCATGAAATATGCAATTTTTAGATGGGGATTCTCATGTCCATCACCAGTCGATGGAGAAGATCGCTGAAACAAGGAGAATTGGGTACGGATTTCTGGATTCCAATTGTAATCATTCCAGGGACGTCACATTGTGTGTATATATATAATTATATATGTAAACACAGTATACATGGAGCTGGGTCCGAATTCAAAAGCCATCTGGCCCTGGTGAACATCAAAATAGCTGGGATTTATGATGATATATGCATGCTCATCCCCCAAAAAAACTGTATTTAGAGGTATTGATCCATACACATACATATCCCTCCGCAGATGTATTTGATACATAACTTCAAGAAGTTCACTTAAACATGTTCAGTGGTTGGTGCTGAAAGCCAGACCATGCTCCTGTGCTTGTTGTTGTTTTTTTTTGCATCTCAACAATGAAATTAATTTACAACTTTATAAGCCCCAATTTAGCATAGGTATATCTACCATACACCCTAGAGTGACTGGAGTTATATAAAACAACTTAGCAGAGGGGCACCACCTTGTGGAGTATACCAACAAACTTGCTGTATAAGAAACAGGAAACAAACAATTCACGCGCGTTTCACATCTCTAACTTAGTTATATACCCCTGAAACAAAGACACGTATCTTATGTTCTTTCAGATTCATCTACTGCCGTGGCTTGTTTCGTGGAAATGTACAGTAATCCATCAAGCATTCCCAGTCGCCCAGTCGCCTGCATAGCTTGCACTTCTTCCAACAATTTCGCAGTGTCTTTCTCTGAAGCTTCCGTAGCAGTCTGGCCACAGTTTCAACTCACGTTTTATTGGGCTTAAATAGCAAATATATATATAAATATGATTAAATATGCATAATTGTCATCAAGAAACATGCTTCCCAAAACTGCACTTAATGTTTCTAATATGATTCTATGATATTCTATTTCTGGCTGATTCGAAATCGACCATCCAACACCGTCATGTCGTGCTTTTGTGGAGAAACAAACAACCTCGAATCCACTGCTTCATCATTTTCCCGTATTTTTACCAGATTTTCACTATGAAAATGGCCAGAACTGGGGACTTCTCACCATTTTTCAATCGATCTAAGGTCCCTCCGCTCCCACCTTGGGTCTGGGCCGCCCGGTGCCCGGCAGCCCCGGCAGCTGAAGCTTCGGCACGGTGGGCTTTGCTCTGGGAGCGGCAGCCCAGGTGTCCGCCCGCTTCAGACGAGGCCGGCGCGTTTCAGGCGCGTCTTCTAAGGCGCGGGAGGAGGAAAAATCCTGGGACTTTCGCAGAGTCTGGGGTTGATGATGGTTGATGGGTCATCAGCCACTTGAAGTTATAGGACACTCAGTCACTCAGTTCAGTTTTTTTCGGAAATCCTGATGCCTGGCCCAAAAAAAAGGCTGGAAACTGTGTTGGTGATATGATCCTATCAGTCCTAGTAGCAATATTTCGTCCAAAAAGAGGCAATGAGATGCAATGAGTTACTTAGTTTTTGGAGCAACACTGACAGACGTGAGGAAATTCTCTTGTCCTGGGAGACTTGGTGAGTTGGTTAGTAACCCCTCTGACAAAAATGGGTAAAAGTTCTGGGTAACTTTTATAAGCCACTTATATACTAAGCCTTAGTTAAGCCAGTTAGAAGTTTAGGAAATCCTGTGCTTAGATGGGTGTTAGTTCGTGAACTGGTTAGCATAACATTCTCCCAGATGTGGGGTATGTATAGTTCATGGATTAGTTCACCCGGGTGCAGTCACCAGCTAACTAAGTATGGTTCAGTTTCGATTTTCTTCTACCTTGTTGTTGAATATGGCACTTTGTTTCGTATGTATTATACATGTTTATGCCTACGGCAGGAAAACCGTACGTGCGTTTTGCTTCTTTTTTGAGTATTGCTCTTTGTCTTGGGGTTGGGGTGGGGTGGGGGGGCATGTTAACGTTCCTTGTACTTCGTACATGATATATTGCCATGTTGCTAAGATCTCTGGGATCTTTTACTACGTTACGTGTTGCTACGCTGCTGAGATCTCTAGTGTGGGTTGGGGTTGGGGTGGGGTGAGGTGGGGTGGGGTGGGGGGGCATGTTAACGTTCCTCGTACTTCGTACAGGATATATTGCCGTGTTAGTGTGGGTTGGGGTTGGGGTGGGGTGGGGTGGGGGGGCATGTTAACGCTCCTCGTACTTCGTACAGGATATATTGCGATGTTGCTAAGATCTCTGGGATCCTTTACTACGTTGCTACGCTGCTGGTATCTCTGAGATAGTTTCCTACGTTACATGTTGCTACGCTGCTGAGATCCTTGGGACTTTCTTACTACGTGACATGTTGCTACGCTGCTGAGGTCTCTGGGATCTTTTACTACGTTACAGGTTGCTACGCTGCTGAGATCTCTGGGATCTTTTACTACGTTACAGGTTGCTACGCTGCTGAGATCTGTGGGATCGTTTACTACGTTACATGTTGCTACGCTGCTGAGATCTGTGGGATCGTTTACTACGTTACATGTTGCTACGCTGCTGAGATGTCTGGGATCGTTTACTACGTGACATGTTGCTACGCTGCTGAGATCTCTGGGATCGTTTACTACGTCTGATGCACATGATGTTTACCTGGATTTGTTAACACTCAATGAGTTTTGCATCCACTTTTTTTAACCCAAATTCAGTTATCCAAACTGAGCGGAAGAGCATTTTATATTGTAAATTACAGGTGATTGTGACTCTCCTGGAAGCAACCAATCAAAACGCTCGCGCGGTTTCCCTTCCGCCGGGATGTTTATACTATATGTGACAGTGTGTATATATATAAATATACACATAAAAATACGGTGGCGGTATGTTGTGAGGAATTTGACTATGGCATTGGCATCAGATATGCAACAGATCCGGAGTAGCGAAGCGGCGCCAACATTTTTCCAGCATAAGTTGACGCAATTTTGTTTCAGAATTCCAATCTATTTGTGGATAATAAATGGTCATAAATGGTATTGTATGGTGCAAATGGCATTGTTTTACCATTTAATATTTGATCATCTATAATAATGTGGGTAAAACAATGCCATTTGCACCATCCCCGAGTCATCACTATAAATATTTCTAGGTAGGATTCAAACCATTCCCAGTCATGGGTGGCTTATTATTGTTTTACCTACATTAGTCTTTAATTATCCCATTGAGCAGTTGAGAGTCCACGTCTAGGTCCCTGATCACTGATATGGGTGATGGACCATGGAGCTACTTAGCGTTTTTTGTGGCTTGGAACCCACCAAGAAACCCAGTTGTGAAGGATTACTCATCTTGGAATTTCATGTGGCTAGGGAAAATATATACGTTTATGGATGATACAAGTATCCATGTACATTTCTGCTTTTCCATTGACATTTTCTTTCACATTCGCTAATCTATTCGCGAAGTCATCACCGGAGGAAGCTCCATGGCATCCATGGCCCAGTGGTCCAGTGGTCCAGCGGCCTCCAATGACGATGCGCTCATTTTTCTGGTGGGCGGTCTCGCATCCTGGAGAATCATGGGGGAGAACCTACCCAGCCAGGCGAACTGTTCATCCTGCATCAACGTTGGCCAACGTCAGCTGGTACCTGTGAAAAACGAGTAAAAGGACATCAAAGAGTCGGTTTTATGGAAAAAAAGATGTATAAAAATATGTAA